ATAATATTTTTTCATGTGTGCTGAGAATCTGAAAGAAATAAATATAGAAATTAAAGATATATTATAATAAAGTAATATAAATAAGAATATTTGTGTAATTATTGAATTATTATTTTAAAAAATCAATAGAAACCAATTTAGTATATGAATGATATGTAAAAGGACATTAACTACACTTTATACACAAATATTGCCACTTTCATTAATAAAAATGCAAACCAGGTTTAGCATTATAAATTGATTTTAATTTATTAATTGTTCATTAAAAACTTCATGTAAATATATTTGACATAAAGTTAATATTTGCAGAATTGCATCTTCTTCTTTGAGATATTTTTAAAAAAGAAAATTAAGTGATTAATCTTTTCTAAGAGATTATTTGCATTGGCAAATACTTTGATTAAGCTTTTGTTTATTTCTTTTTTTGATATTGCTACATGTAAAGTAATTTGTAATGTTGATTTTTAATCTGTTCATGTTATTCAAAATTTTTGAGATATATGTTTTTACTTGCGCGCAATGTAATCTATTGTTGACTTATGTTTCCATTCTATCAAAAGATTGCAATAGTTACAAAAAAGCAAACAATTATCAACACGAAATACTTCAGGATAATCTTTGAGTCACACATAAGCTATAGGGAATAAGCTGTTGTTAGGAACTGGTTCTTTGACATTTCATTTTTGAATATCGGATTTAAATGAAAAACTAATTTATTAATTCCTTTTTTTACTTGTTCCTTCTCCTTACACAATTCTATAAATTACATTAACTTTTAACTCCTTTACTAAAAATGACATAGATTTATAAAGATTATGTAAAAATCAAATTTTATGTGATTTTGTAAAGATATACAGTACATGTACAGTACATGTATCATAGTGTGCATTGTGCGGTAATAGAGAATTGGAAAGTCCATCACTAGTAGGGTACATGTATCTTGCATAATCAAATTTTCCGCCCAACAAAGTTTTTCCCAACATCACATTTTTTATATCACATATCATAATCGAATATTTTTATTTTGCTTTGCTAGTATCTTCCACTCTTTGTCTGTAATCAAAATAGTAGCGTTTGGAGTAATTCCAATAATTTCATATGTAAGCGGTAGAGTTGCTGAACCTGGTCAAATTGGTTTCAATGCTACATTCTGTTGAACAAGACTAGTTGATCATACAAGCGCAGACCGATTAAATTCGAGGTTATTATCTTGTTTTCCATATTCTTCAAGGTCATCAATCCTTTAGCAAAAAACTCCTTGTTCTTAGCCTTTATGAAAACATTACTAACGTCATCTCTATTAACATACACACCCCTACAATATATTACCGGAAATCCCAAAAACAAATCTGCTGCTTTGAGCTCCAATATCTCAAAATCCAATAATCCAATTTAAATGAAAATACTCTCATTAAATTTGTTCCGACTCCATAAATCTTATGGTAATATCTTCATTTAAATAGGATCACTGGATTTTGAGATATTAGATTACAAAATGATGGTTTTATTTTTGTTATTTCCGGTAATATATTGTGGGGGTGTGTAGGTAAGCGTAGATTTATGAGTTTGGCATCTTCCAAAAGCCGCTATACGATTTGTAACAAACACAATACATCCCTTGTACATCATTTTTAATTTTCCACTTGCAAGTATAACAGTTTCGATATTTAGGAATAAAATTATCATCAGACCAATAACATTTATCTAATCACAGTCAGGATTGGGTATTCATTCTCGCATACAACTAACATTTTTAAAATCTTATGCGTTCCCTCTGTAAGATATGCTGTTGTTGTTCAACTGATATACTATCAATTTGTTCTTCACAGGTCGAGATTGTATGTCATTTGAAAATTCATAACTAAGAAAATAAGCGTCAGTATTTTGCATAGTTATATCAATATCTAGTATATATAACAAACTTCGAATATCAGTCCGGGAGAAAAATTAAAACACTTTTAATTCTTGATCATCTCGGGTGACATGTCCAATTTCTTGAACGAAATTATGTATTACAAGTCAAACATCAGCAATATTTATATTCATTCCGAATGCATTAGTAATTCTGATGTAACTATTTTTCACCTATCCAATTATATTCTTTATTGTGTCATCTAAGGATCCATGATAATTGATGATGTTACCACAGTTATGTTAGAGACTTTAATTTCATAATTTTGCGTAGTTTATAATACATGTATTAAATTTGGTCACATAAATTTAATAACATGTTCCTCTATAAGACACAAAAATGTAGGAATGTCTATATTATAAAAATGACGAAAATTTTTCTTTTTCTTTTTGTCGCGTCTCGATCCTTCTCATAGCTCGAGTAAGTATTCTGAGATATTTATTCGCCTGAAGATGTAGTTTACACAAATTATATTCTACTGTGTGTGTTGGAACTTAGTCCATCTTAAGATAAAACCAGGCGAGTTACGGATTTCTATGACGTATTCAATCTTCGCTTGAGTGCCCTAGACATGGCGAAGAAAAAATCTCAAGATCAACGTGTAACGAAAAAATTCAACAATGTATTTTGAAATTTTGTCTATAAATTCACTTTCTTACAAAAAATGTTTCTTACGAAATTTACTGCGTGCAACGTATCCTCAACTTCGAGCCAACTCTTACTGATGGAACTCAAGTAATTCAAAGCAACTAGCTAAAGGTTACGATCCAGAGCATATCGTAGATATAATTTACAATTTACATATAAATACCTGCAAAATTTTTGCTAATTTCCCAACCTGGTTTTTATACAAAAGTTGCTAAAACCAAGAACAGGAAATCTTGGGACTGCATATGACCATGGGCTACCGGAAATTTTGTTATTATCATGGACGCCGATTTCTCACATCATATCGCTATCGAATAAATATTATCTCTTGCCATTAATTTTATACAGCCAGATCATAAAGTAAATCATAGAAATTTTTACATGCTGTCTGGAGCTTTGAATTTTTCCGACACAAACTCTCTTAGACTACAGCATACTATGATCTCGCACTGGGACGTGTTATGTTGGTAATGGTAGAGTTATGAATGGGATCTTTGATGTAAGGTGAAAAGGCATGTTTAATTTGGCTTTATATTAATATATTGTCCTTTGTCAGTAATTAGATCTGTTTTTCTAATTTTTGAACAAAAAGTTGCGGAACAAACTTTTTAACATCTACATTATTGCATCCAGAAGTACTGGAAGTTTCAGAAATTTACCTAGGACAATGCTATTATTTTCTGTTCATTTTACTATTATCATTTGAATTGTCATATTAGCAAATATGTATCGTTATTAAGATTATATAAAATCATGTACAGGAGCAATTAATTTCTGCAATTATCTCCAGAGGATACTTATTTCAATGGAGATGATGGTGCAAGCTCAGAACCAAATATTATAGCTTTTATTAAGATTTTTCAAAATTATCAAAAGTAACTTAATTCTTGATTCAAAAAACTCATTTTATTTCACAATTAGTTCACTCTCAACATAGTGAAAAAATCAGGATAAGGGAATCTTACATAACTTTACTAATACCAAGATTGAGTTTAGCATTGTAGTAAAAATAATAATGATCATGCACAATATGTAGAAATGCTAACGCGAAACAACAAAATTAAAGTGTAGACACGGTGGTTGCTGCATGATTACTGAGAAGAAATAGAAGGTTGTAGATATTGAATCGACACAAGTATCAGTATGACAAGCTAGAGTAAGGGCTAATCTTGAGATAAGCTTTTTGCTGGTCAAAAAATTCTAGAGGTCTTCTTGCGAAGTCACATTCAAGTCACTATTATCGTTATTGATAAATATGTAATTTCATTATTTATGACCAGTATTAAGAATGCATGAATTTTTGATTGACCCAACAAAACAAATCCGACTCAAAGAAATGAAAATGTGATATTACGAGAACACTGATGCATAAATATATCTTCGTTGGACAATTAATTAAAAATGTCGGAAAGGCAATTTTACATGTAACCTCGTTTTTTCACCCTTACTCTAATCGGACATAATTCATTATCCAAATTAGGAAATTTGAAATTTGGTTCAGTAAAACTGATCGTTATTACATAATGATGATCAATTGTTTGTTTCAGTTTTTGCAAAATCATATTCCCAAGGGAATATCGATGAAATTCAAGAAAATTATGTTGTTTAGCTTCAGGAAATTTTTATACCATACATTCTGCATAATATCATTACCTGAAAGAGAGCGAGCATATCGACATATTATCTCTCGCTTAATAAAATAGCACACTGTAGATACATAATGTAAAAATAAATTAAAATGTTGCTGACCCAGTAATAAAAAATAATCAAATAATGTCCAAAATAAATTCAGTGCTTTAAAAATTTCCGCCTAAATTGAGATTGTTCATTTGTTTTTTTCCTTATGAATAGAAATGTTATATTATTGAACATTTAGGAATTTGGAAGGGTTCGAACCCTCATTTCAGAACCACCAGAACAAAATCCAATTTATGGAATACTAAATATTATCTATGAGAAATGGCTAGAAACTCGTAGAAAGAGATTTAACGGAAACCAACAATGGAATAGTTTAACTTCAATGACCAGGACGGGTTGTTTAGCTCGAAAGAATACTACAGCTATGACCCCGAGTACTCATCGATCTTTGGTTATAAATAACCAAATCAGTATAACAAAGTTAAAATAATCAACTCTGAAGGACTCGAGATTATACCTTCGGGTAATACTACCAAGTAACTTCAAAAGCTATCTTAAGATAGGAACCACTGATGAAGGAAGTGCACTCAAGTCAGAACAACCAAGTCTTTTTAACGCAAAATCAGAACTGGGAGAAACTCACGACGGACCAAGAGAATGACGCTTAAAATACTCTATTATAACAGGGCTAGTCTTATGTTAAAATAACTATGGCCATGAATAACAACGGCTATCCTAGGAAGAGAATCTTTAAAGAGAGCCGGCAAGTAACAAATGAGCGATCACAAACTCTCAAACCCGTTCAACAATGGACAAGTCCAGCACCTCTCAGCGCAAAAAATAGATCAGGATTTGTAACATTCTTTGCGGTTAAGACTGTTCCATTCGTGCTGACCATTTGAATCAAAAGAATATGATTAGTAGCCAAACCGAATTCTCGAGAATATAAGCCAAAACCGCCACCTAAAGAATGACCAACTGCTGGACAAAAACCATCTGGAAATTACCCGAGTTGAATAAATTCCTTTTCCAATTTCAATTATAGCAGTATTTTTCTTAGTGTCGACAATTAAATCATAAAATCAACTACGAGTACACCATCGTGTCCGCCAAGAGAGGATTCTTCATATAATGTCCTATTAGTAAAAAAGTTGATACGAAATTTAGTTTTGATATGAGTGAATTCCCATGAAAAGATATATTTCAATTTAATAATTTCTTATACCTCCTGACGTGCAACAATTTGCATTTTAAGAATTTTTTACGCAATTTATTGCAATTTTTATATCATTCTCATTGCCGCATGTAGGATCTATTCCGAAAAACAATATTTATTACATGTAGTTAAATATGTTCACACATGAGACAAGTTTATGGATACATGTATCAGGATTTTATATAAATTAGATCCTTTTCTCAAAATTCTTTTTATCATCAAAAACATATAAATGATGACAACAATTTTTTATAATTTAATACTCATGCTCCTAATTCTCGCACGTATATATATTTTCGGACATCATTACGACCTCATCAACCCTAATGATAAACCATGACATAATTTTACTGATGAATCTTGGATTCTCTAATCAGTCACAAATTTCTGTGAAAATTTTACTAATATTTTGAAGTTGCTGTACATGTAACGCTTTGACAAATATTGGTGATGTAATGATATGATATCCAATAGTTTACAGCGATCTTGAATAAACATAGTAAAAAACGTGAATTATATTCATTAATAATAACGCGCGAATAACTTAATTTTTTTTATTGTTGGAATATTCTTAAACAATAAATATATTAGAAGAATTTATGATTGAATTTTTCAGAAAGTGTTTGTTACCATTTCAACAAAATTAATAATAAATATTTGAAGTAACTAAATTTTAAAAGTTTATGATATTCTATATTAAATTGCAGTTCTCGTTAAATCGGACATTTGAAAACCGGAACCAGAACGAGAAATTTAGATTTATTATAAATCGGTTTTATTAAACACAGTAAATCTACTGTAAACCGGATTTTTATTGATGGAGCGGATCCATCCGGCTTAACGAGAGCGACATGTATAAATAAATAAATTTGGATCAAAAAGGCGTTATTCAATTCTCTTTATCTCCCTGGATCTCAGATGCGCAAAGACGAGCGTTGATTCAATACATAATATTTCCAGCACCACGCACTAACAGCTAAACAAATCACACAAAAAGAAATATCATAAGGTAGTTGGAATTGAAAAACTTTCATGGTAAACATTCGATTGTGTGAATTGCATTTGGATTTATTGTCCTTTTTTTTATTAAAGGAATTACTTCAACTTTGTTAAGTACTTCCATTTCTGCTGTTCGAGTTTAAAAACACTCTTTGACTCCTTCATTGTTTTAGATATCCTAAAAAAATGGTAGAGCTGAAAATGATTAAGAATTTTCACCTTTTTATACTTTTTTTCTTATATATATTCATATAGAATATTCGGTTTCCACCAAATATAGTTGATATAGTCATCTTTGTAGGTAATATGATAAAGTCAAAAAGTTTTTCAGCAGTTGGTCTGTTACTAAGGCTGCGATATTATACATTAGTTATAAAATTGTTTTCAAGAAACGTGAGCCACTCCAGTGAGAATTATCCCATAAACTTAGCAAGTAGGTGTCATCCCTATAGTATTCCAACATTTTTCAATAATAAATGTACACCATCCGGGAATATTATTTGGTATCATAAGTCGTATTCCATTATGGTCGTTCACCAGTTACAAATCACAACCATCTTAAGCTTATAAATTTTTACAGTGTTAGTGTATGACTTTCCATTTAGCATCTCTGAATCCATATAAAGAAGTACTTCACAAATTTTTTGGTTAGTTTTTTTTATATCTCTTAGGTCCAAAATCAACAATTTGAGAAGAATTACGCATTAATAATATATTTTCATGATAGTCGCGAGGTACTTTGTGAATTTCTACAGATCAAAGTTCAAATGACTTAAATAACTTAATTTTTTGATCTAAATCAATTTTCATAGTTAGAATTAATATATATTATTACTATTAAGTATTTGTCTGTAGATGGGTTTTTAGTTATTCATCTGAAAAATTTTATTGCATCAATGAATTTCATGATCAATTTTTTATCTCATTTATAAACTCCCAGAGTTGCTTTGAATGGTGCAATGATTTTAACACAACTTCTCCGTATTATATAAAGCATAATCCTACTTATATTTATCAAACCAAGTTGCTTTATAAATTGTCACAAAATCTCCATTGCAAGATATATTGGTTAATCTTTCAAAGGGAGTCCATTCGAATAATCTCTTTTTATTAAATTTGTTGCATTCATTATTAGATTGTCAATATCTTTATTTAGATTGTTACTAATTTTTTATCTCCGCTAGTCAATTTATAAATTCATTTGTGATCTTTTTTATAAGACAAACAGAATCAATACAACCATGAGCATTGTGACTTAAACACTCATCACAGTATCCATCTTCTTAATGATAGTCATACATGTATTTACTACAATCATTGTGTAATGATTTCAACACAACTTTAATCTCGCCTTTTGTTTAATCTATTGTATTTCCTTCGTTGTTCCATTGTTGGGTAAATGTTTCATCCAGATTGATTTATAAATTGACCTTTTGCAAGATGTTCAATGTTGGTAAAGGAATCAAAAACTTTACGCAATATCCAGATCATGGATTTTATTGTTCTATTACATGTACATGTGCCGTTGCATTCAAACACACTTGCGCAAAAACTTAACATTAGTATTCAAAAATTAATATTCAAATTGAAATTTAACTAAACCATACCTTATTTTACTCTAATGAAGTCGCAGAATTAGTTAATTCGTATGCGTGTTCTTGCATTTTTTACTATATGTAATAATCCCTGATATATCAAGCGTAAATTCAATAACACATCATCATCAATAATTCATTGCATTCTTTTATTAGATGTCAGTATTTTTTATCTCCTAGACAGTTCATCGTTATAAATTCGATTGGAGCAGTGTCTATTTCCTTGACAAAAGTAAACTAAACATTCATCGCAGTATTCATTGTATTTTTGACAACAATAACAAATTATATCGATAGTAAAAACAAACGAGATAATCATTTTACAATACAATATACATATACATGTTGGTGTGGATGGGTATCCCCGAAGTTTTGATTGGACGCAGATTACTCTAATCGCTGATTGGCTGACTGCACCTAGATCAACCAATAAGAAAGTACAAATTTTTGATCATCCCTAAACCTGATCTTAAAATTGGTCTTAATATTCTGAACCAAATCAGAACTTCGATACCATATTTAGACTTTGTAACCGGTCAACCGCGAAAGAAACTTTTAACTGGTCAACCGGTTAACCGTCGATTAACAGATTAATGCTTAATCGGAGGATCAATTTATTAAAATTATAAAAAGCAAAGCGATTGCTTAATAATACATGACATAATTACAAAAAGTTATGTTTCATTCTCATACACATGTGTATAAAAAGAACGGATAAAAATTAGTTGTTTATTTTTGATTCTATTGATATTTCGTGACAATAATTAATAATGGTTTGATAACTATGTTTTATGAGTAGAGTGATATGTATTGTGGATAAAGAAAATGTAGTTACGAAGAAATTTTTATTGCATAAATGTTTTAATTTCAATAATATGACTTAAGAATTAAATATATAATGAAAACTGGGACAATTATGTATTATATAAATTGAACAATAAATTAAAAAAATTTGATAATGCAAAACGGGAGAATAAGTAACAAGCAAATATAACTTCACTATTTTAGTATCTATATCCAAATATTGCTTTCTTTATAAATGTATTCATAAAAAATAAAACTCATTAGAATTGATAACCAAAAATTTTATAATTCTGACATTTGATTTAATTAATCTTCCCCAATGTATTTGATGCTTCTGACGCGTTTTCAATATGATGTTTGCCCCTTTTTCAATCTTTGAAATCTAAATTATTGATGAAAATTAGAAATAATATATGATGTTAAAAACGTTGATATAACGATAAAACGTACGTGGTGTTTGAATGGTAATTTTTTGAAAATTTGGCATCTTTCCCATCATTCTCAATATCAAAAGCAAATGCTGATATTAAAATAAAACAATGCCTGTAAAATAAATAATATAATATTCATTATATATCTAAAAATAGATAATAATTTTACATTCATTTACGCTGTTTGATGTATAGAAACTGACATTTATGTCAAAATTCCGAAGTTACATATGCTAAAGTTTATGTAACGGTAAACGAATATTTAAAATTTTAATACATGTACATGTACATATAAACTGCGATTTTACTTTCATTTGGTACATACAAACTGATATTTATAGAAACTATGTCAAAATAAATTTTATTATATCAATACGGAAAAATATTATTATGAAAGTAAAAATACCTGTGTCAGTTGGAACCGAAATTAATTTCTTAGTAAAGATTCTGCTTGTATATATTGCATTTGAGTGGATGTTTTGTTTTATGTCTATATTTTTAATAATTTTTTTTGCGGTTATTCTCTTTATTAAGTATTTGTATCTTTTTCTTTTCATAGTTTAATTGATTTTTGATTTCTTTATTCTCTAAAGTATAGTAATACTAAAAATGCAATATATTGAGCTCGCATGCTACGCCTTTATACACAGATATAATTAAGTTGAAAAGTTACTTAACAATAGGTCGGTTTTCTAGAATAAGAGCCTAACATTTTTTTAATAATAAATCTACACAATCTGGGTACATTATTTGGTAAGTTTGGCCGCACTCCCTTATAGATATCATATACGAGATTTATTTCGCTCGCTGAATGGAGATTCTTTTGTTATAATTTCATATTAATCATCACAAACCTATAAATGTCTGCAGCTTTAGTATATGGCTTTCCTGTTAGCACCTCTGGACTCATATAAGGAAGCACTTCGTATATTTCTTAATCAGTTTTTTTACTTTTGTTGGACCAGTAAGTCCAAAGTCAGCGATTTTTCATAATAATATGCAATATTAAGATATTCCAAGGATAAAAGTCACGATGCATCAATCTTTATCGCGAAATTTTAGCAACACTGAAAGAATATCAAGTAATCGCCTTAGCTTCTCATTCCAATCATTTTTTTCGTGTTTGTTAATATACATATAATTACGAAGATCACCGCATTTTGCAAAATCATTATTATCGAGTACTCATTTGTAACTGGGGCTTTAGTTATTCCCTTATAATGCTTATAATGGCAACTATGAAACGAAATTTCATATTCAGATATGATAGTGAATTCTGAATCTAATATCAAAAATTAAATTAAAAGATAAATATCATCTTGATTATACTTTAATATTAAAAAATTTACCTCTTTTTAATTCCAACGTGATTTGCTTTGAATTTTGTAATGTTTTCAACACAACTGTTTCAGCAGAGGAGTTAGATATTTTGAATCCATTTTTTGTGAACTCAAATATCATATTTATATAAATATGCTTTGTAAATTGTTCCAGAACCTCTTTTTGCAGGATATTTAATATTGGTAAATCTTTCAAAAGGGATCCATTTGAAGGATTGAGTATTGCATTCTTCTATTAGATTGTTAATCTATATATCATAACAAATTTGTTTGTGACTATTTATTTTATAAATTCGTTTGTGATAATTAAAACTTAAAACCAGAAAAAAATACACAAACTTCAACAATTAATTTCTTAACAATTTATAAATAAACATTGTAAAAAATTTATATCATTTTATTCAGAAAAATATGAATTTTATTAATATCTAGTTGGATTTCCAATAAAACTTGAATCCTTCTTGGCAAACTTTCAACTGAATTTGTTAAAATTTCAGGCTCAATTTTATTTCACTCCTTCTCCAAAACTACCATTTATTCCACAATATTTTTTAGATGAGATTTATGTTCCATAACTCTTCTTTTCAAAACATCTCACAGATGTTAATTGGATTAAGATCTGGACTCTGTGCAGACCATGGAAGACTTAATACCAAAACTAACAGTTACAGTCATAGCAATATTGAATTTTTTGGTAATTTCGTCAACTGCTTATTGTCGATCATCTTTAACAATATTAATTAACCTTCGAGTAGCTCTATCATCTAATTTTTGTGGTCTACCGCTC